GCGGATCCCAGGGAGGGATCAGGCTAGGGCAGGGCTCTGCAGTGCCAGCCTGGCTGCAGGAGCCTGGGGACTCTGCAGCACCGGCGCAGAACAGCAGATGCAAAAGCAGCACCCTGGGAAGGGCAGGGCAGGGATGGACCCCGCGTGCTGCTGGATCCGGGACGTGCCCCCGTGCCACTCCCGGGCTGCTCCCGGCCCTGCTCTCCCTCGGGCAGGGCTCCCTGGGGTGGATGAGCACAGGATGGAGGTGCTGGAGCATCCCGCAGCACCTCAGAGCTGGCAGGGCCAGCAACCTCCTCCCAGGGCAGGATGGGGCTGGGAAGAGCTGGGAACAGCAGCCCAGGACATTTTTGTACAGGTTGGGAGCACCAGAGGGAAGGAGTCAGGGAATGAGTTTTAAATAGGAATTCCAGAGGTGGAAGGACTGGATTTCTCTCTAATAAATCACCCATAAAAACCCATATTATCTATAATAATTATCTGTACAATAACCACTTTGCTCTTCCCTTGGGCCTCACCTGTCCATCATCCCCATTCAAATGGACAAGTCTTCCTTTACAGACATTTGCTTTCAAAACCACAGGGATTTTAAAAAACAGGAGAGACCTGAGCAGTAGGAACCCAGGGAGATGCAAACTTCGAGCCCCAATTCCCACTTTCAGGAGCAGGAGTGGGGCTGTGCTTTTCCTGGACGCTTCCAAAGCACATCAGGGCTGAGCTGTGCCAGCTCTGGGTGCAGCCCCCAGCCTGCCTCGTGCCCACCCCTGGGAAAGGCAGCTCAGCAGCACAAAGAGCCTTCACCAGCCTTGCAGGCTCCTCTCACTCCATCCCTGGGGCTGCTCCGAGGCAGGGCAGAGCTGCACCCTCCTGGCCACGATCCCTGGGACCCCAGTGGCTCCCATGGATGCATCCCTGCTAGCCACAACGCCCTGCTTTCACACCGTGCCCTTCATCTCCCTCTTCCTCAGGCTCTTAAGCTTGCCAGGCTCTGCTCCCGGAGCCCTGCTGGCCTTGGAGGGGCTGCCACAAGCTCCGTGCCCCACGCCAGCACTGCCAGCCTGGCCAAGGACTCTGCTCCACCCATTCCAAGCCCTGCTCCCACTCCCAGCCCTCAGCAAAGGCACCTTTTGGGAGCACGTGAGGAGCAGCGAGGAACTGAGCCATCAATCTTTGCTGGATCCACGGGAATGGACTCTGGGAAGGGGCTTGAACCTGAAAATGGAACTGATGGCCCTGTTTTTATAGGACAGGGCACAACTCCCTCTTTCTCCTGCTGCCAGGCCTAAGATGCAGCCCCGTTTTATCATCAGGATTCTCCAGAGGAAGCAGGGGCTGCAGAGCTCTGATAACACCGGAGGAAACCCTGGAAACATGGAAAGGATTGTTCCAGCCCCAGGCTTTGCCTCAAATAAACCTGCTGAGCTTCTTCCTTACATACACCCCTTAACCACTGACATTCAAAACAACACCACCCAACCAGGCTTTTCTGCAGCCTCCAAAGAGCAAACACCATCTTCCTACTGCTCCCATCAAAGCCTGAGCTGCCAGGGATTAGCAAAGCCAGGGGTGATGAGCAGAGCCTTTGGGACTGCTTCCCTGAGAAGAATCAGGGACACAGGCTGTAAATAAGAAATGCCAGTTCTGTCCCCAGTGAGAGCACAGGCAGGTTTGCAGAGCCAGCTCCCACACTGAGGGCTCAGCCAAACCCACCCAGCACACAACAAAACCCTCTTTATAAAGTACACAAAGTTAAATTTAAACCCAGCCCAAAGCAGCAGCTCCCTGTTTTGGGAATGGTGTGTTTGGCAGAGCAAGTGGGTAAAGATGAGCTGTGCCAGGCTGGGCTTTGCTGCAGGCAAACTCAAACCATCCTTCTAATTACAGACCTTTTAACTAATTACAGGCTTCTGGGCTGGCAAAGTGGCTGATTTTGATGCTTTCTCACCATGTTCAGCTCTGGGTTAAACTTGGCCTATCCAAGGTGGCCAAACAGGTGAGAAGGTGCTGCTGGCAGAAGTATCCAGAGTCAGGAGAGCAGGAGGGGAAAATCCTTTCTGCAAGTAAGCCAAGACTTAAAACTGCTCAGTTCAGAGGCTGCTTCTCTCCAGAGCAAGGCTTCATTCAGCTCTAGGAGTGACACTGCTCCTGAACAGCCACAAATGGACATCAGAGAATCTGGAATGGTTTGAGCTGGAAGGAACCTTAAAGCTCCTCCAGTGCCACCCCTGCCATGGGGACACCTCCCACTGTCCCAGGCTGCTCCCAGCCCCAGTGTCCAGCCTGGCTTGGGACATTCCAGGGATCCAGGGGCAGCCCCAGCTGCTCTGGGCACCTGTGCCAGCCCCTCCAACCCTCCCAGCCAGGAATTCCTTGCCAAGATCCATCTGACCCTGCCCTCTGGCACTTTGAAGCCACCAAGACCTAAAAGCTCTTCCACAGCTTTGACCTGAATCACCAGCTTGGCCCATGAGGCTGTTCAGTGTAAGGAAGCGAGATACAATCAGAGAAATCAGTTCTGTATCATTAAAATGGATAATGATGTCCTAATGAATGGCCAGGAAAACTGAAGCACTGGGAAAAGCAGGGAAAAGCAGGGCAGAGACAAACCCTCTCCCTTTCTGCAGCAAATCAGGCTCAATCACCAAATGATTCCTGTGATGCTCCCCAAGGGCTCTCAGCATTCCCAGTGCCAAATCCCTGGACACTGGGAGGGAGAAATCCCTTCCCAGCCAGGCAGCTCCAGCATTTCCCATCCTCCAGGAGCCACTTCTCCCAGCTCCTCCTCTCAACCCCCCTGCTCCAGTTGAAGCTCATGATTTCCCATTCTCAATTGAAAGCTGCACTTAAAGCCCACTCAGATGTTCCTAAACTGCCCAAAGGGCTTCTGTGAATTCCTTCCCTGCACTCCTGCTGCCTGGGATCCATCCCTGGTTTTGGGAGAGAAAATCCCAGAAAATCCAGAGGAGCTGCTGTCACACAGCTCATCCCAGTCTCTCCTGACAGGACAGACAAAGTCCCTGGCAAGGCAGCTCCGAGCAGAGCTCGGGATTGAACTCCAGCACGGAGGGGATTTAAACAAAGCCATGGACTGGAACCTCTGGCCAGGAGTCCAGGGAGGCAGGGAGCTGTCAGAAAGCAGCAGCTCAGGGGCACTCCTGGTGATTATCCACTGGGTTGGATGGACCAGGAGCTGAATTCCAGCCGGATCTGACAGCCCATGACTGCCAAGAGGGGAAAACCTGCTGGCTTCTCACCCATTTCCCAAGGAAAAGGCCCAGAGAGAGATGCCAAGGGCAGCTCCATCCCATCCCATCCCATCCCATCCCATCCCATCCCATCCCATCCCATCCCATCCCATCCCATCCCATCCCATCCCGTTTATCCCGTTTATCCCATTTATCCCATCCCAGCTTCCCTGGCTGCCTCAGGCACTTGAGTCACTGCCTGGATACAGCAGGATTTCTAAGCCTTGATTTTTTTTATTCTAGGCCTTAACCAGCAGGTTTCTTATCCCAAAATTAGAAAGGAAAATTAAAAGAGAGGATCTTGAGTGGGAATACTCTGTCCTTGCTCAAGGACAGGCTGCAGAGACTGGAGTTCTTCAGGCTCATGCACAAATCCTGCCCTGGGATGACACCAAACCACTGCCAGGGCTTTGAGTCTCCTGGGAATCACAGAATCCCAGCATGGTGAGGGTTGGAAGGGACCTTAAAGCCCATCCCATTCCACATCTGGCATGGACAGGGACCTTCCACCACCCCAGCGTGCTCCAAGCCCCATCCAAGCTGGCCTTGGACACCTCCAGGGACAGGGAATGCCAGGGATGCAGCTCAGCAGCCCCCAGACCTCACCCTTGTCTCTCGTGCTGCTGGAACAGGGCAGAGCTCCCACATCCTGCCTCTCCTTCCCAGGGATGGGCTTTGTGGACACAAGGATGGACACATCCCATCCAGGCTTGTGGGATGGGATATTCCTGATGTTCCTGGCCCAGGGGAGCAGCTCCTGCCTGTCCCAGTGTCCCCAGCTCTGCCTCAAGGCCACCACGGGCATGACACCTTCCTGAGGAAAGGAGCAATTTGGGGGCTGGTGCTGGAGCCAGGCTGAGGGAAGTTCTCATCCCTTCCCAGGTTTGGGAGCCAGGCTGTGTGGAATAAACCAGGAGTGCCCTCTTCATTAAAGGAGGCTCAGCCTGAACTCAAATCCTTCTGCTTAATAAATGAGGTTAAAGTCAGCCCAGGTTAGAAAATCCCTCTAACAAACCAAGGCTGCAGACTGCCCCAGCTCTGAGTTGTTTTCTGGTTGTTTTCTCTGGCTGACTTGAACCCCATTTCCTGCCTCTCACTGACACCACCCTCGACCTCTGGACTGCCGGCTCAGCTCCAGGGGCTGCAGGGATGAGAAATTCCTCTCAGGAACAGCACAAACACCACAAACCCGGAGGATCTGGAGGGATGAATCACCACACAAAGCAAGAACATCTAGAGATTCGTAACTGGGAGAAGGGAAGGCTGGGTGGGATGGGAAGAGGAAAGAGCAGGGCTGGGATTAGTTACTTTGGGAATATTAATGATATCTCATGTACCCAAAGTGCTGCACCCTGACCAGACCCCACAGGGGGGTGTGGGGTTCAGAACAACGTGATTATCCCACATCCCAGCCTGACTGCCAGGGAAGCTTTTTCAGCTCATTAAAGGATAATGAATCTGCATTTTGAGGCCACAGAACCACTTGGTGTGACCACACTGAGCCCCACCTCTGCAGAGGGAATCCTCTCCATGGAGGGGATCCCTCCCTTCCCTGAGAGGAAAGCACATCCCAGACCCAGCAGAAGCCAGGAGAGGATCCAGGAAAATCCCCTTCCCTTTGAGACACTGGAGAGCAAGGAAGCATTTCCCTGCTCTGCCCTTGCCTGGGCGCTCCCAGGAGCACCCAGGAGCCGCTGGAGACGGGAACTGGGGCAGGAATCAGCAGCCTGGACCTCCACACCCCCTTCCACTGACCTGGGTTTCTGAGGAGGGCACTCTTTGGGCTCCTTGGACCCAAACCAGCCGCTGCTCTTACTGCTCTCATCCCCCGCGGCGCGGACGGGGGTCCCTCTGTCCCCCTGGCCTTTGCCGCCCGCGTCGCTGCGGCCGCCCCCGTGGTGGAAGAAGCCTCCCTTGGCCTTCTTGTCCTCCTTCGCGGCGTCCTCGGGCGCTCCGTCCTTGGGTTTGCCCTCCAGGCGGTGGCTCTCCTCCAGCCTGGCCCTGCCCAGGTGGTTGCTGAGCGTCACGGCCTTGGTGGACACCTTGAGCTCTTCCTGCAGGGCCAGGCTGGGCGGGGAGGGGATGAACCTGGGCTCGTCCCTCTGCTGGGCCCTGTCCGGCCCCCGGGCCGCGTGCTGGGGCTCGGGGTGCAGCGGGGCTCGGGCGCAGGGCTGCTCCTGGCGGCGGGGCACGGGCGGGTTGCGGGGCGCCGCCGCCTCCTCGCCGTACACGTGGCTGCCGTTGACGCACAGCGACGAGCGGGACGAGCGGGACGCGGGCTCGCGGCCCGGCCCGGGGCTCGGCGGGGCTCCGGCGGGGCTGGCCCGGGACTCGTCCTCGCTGAACGCTCTCTTGTGGGTCAGCTTCGGCGAGGCCGGCAGCTCCTTCCCTGCGGGGACAGACGCACGGCGGCTGAGGCCACCCTCATCTCCTACCTTGCACCTGCAAACCCCACAGAGAGCTGGGCAATCACCCCAGCCTCCTCCCTTTTAAATTCTCGGGAATGCAAAGCACGGCTCACTGGTGGACACAAAACTGTCCCTGAGAACAGCACGGGAGCACCCCGAGAGGAGGCTCTGAAAGATGACAAACCCATTGTCTGAGAGGATCTGAGCCTGATCACAAATGCAAGGAACTCCTCAGAAGCTCCTTAAAGGGTTTTAAAGCTTCCATGTGACTTTCGAGTTTGCACTGGACAAGAGGTGATGGGGCCACTGCTCGGTGTGATGAGCCAGGAGGGTTCAGTGCCTGCACCTCCCTCCTACTGCCTTCAGGGCCGATCATCTTAGAAATCTTTTCCAACCTTAACAATTCTGTGATTCTATGACCTCGTGGCTACTGCCAATTTTTGGAGGTAAAAGTCAAGGAGGACCCAAGGAAAACAACTGAGAACTGCTCGCCCCTCCCAGCTGGAGATGCTGCTTCCTTCACAGAATCGTGGAACGGTTTGGGCTGGAAGTGACCTTACATATCACCCAGTTCCAAGCCCCTGCCATGGGAAGGGAAGCTCCCAGTCGCTGGAAGGCTCATCCCAAGGATGATGGAACCAGGACAGGAACGTCACCAGCAGAAGCCACACGGCCCCCCCAGGGACTCCCACCCACCCTGGCAATGTGCTGTCTCAGCCAACTGAACCATTTAATTTGTTTCCAAGGGAGAATTAATTCCCTACAAGGGCCTTTTTTGTTTGTAAATGACTGCCCTGGGAGTGCCAAGAGCTCAGATTGTTTTAATCACCGGAGCCAGGCCCCGCTTGGGCTTTGCCTGCGAGCCAGAGGCGGCTCAAGAGAGAGCAGTGACCCAGGGCAGGGCCAGCAGCCCGGCCCGGCCCGGCCCAGTTCAGCCCAGCCTGGCCCAGTTCAGCCCAGCCCAGCTCAGCTCATCCCAGCCCAGCCTAGCCCAGCCCAGCCCAGCCCAGCTCATCCCAGCTCATCCCAGCTCATCCCAGTTCATCCCAGCCCAGCCCAGCCCAGCCCGGCCCAGCAGGGCTCTCCTGGCAGGGACTGCTCAGAGGGGCTGAAAGGAGCAGCCCTGCAGGACCCTCAGATCCCCAGAGCTCGGGGTGCAGGTGTGGAAAGGCAAATCCTGGATGTTCCTCCCTGCCAGCACACACACACAGCATCTGGGGTTGTGCAGGACTCACCCCGCAGTGACGGCCTGGAGCAAAGGAGGCTCAGGGGGACCTTGTGGCTCTGCACAGCTCCTGCCAGGAGGGGACAGCCGGGGGGATTTGGGATCTGTTCCCATGAACAGGGACAGGAGAGGGAACAACCTCAGGGGAGCCTTGGGGTGGGCACTGGGGAAATTCCTCATGGGAAGGGCTGCCCAACCCTGGCACAGCTGCCCAGGGCAGGGCTGGAGTCCCCATCCCTGGGGGATTTCACAGCCTTGTGGCTGTGGCACTGGGGGACACAGTGAGGGGTGGCCTCGGCAGTGCGGAGGGAACAGCTGGACTGCACGATCCTGGAGGGCTTTTCCAGCCTAACCAATTGCACACTCCTGGTCCCACATTCCACATCCCCGGAGCTGGAACAACCAGCTGCACAATTCCTGATTCTGTGCTGGGTAAGCAGGCGGTGCCCAGAGCTGCGAGGAGGCCGCAGCGGTCCCTGGCAGAGGGAGGCAGGGGAGCCCTGGGGGGATTATCCCTGATCCTCTTACCAGAGTGCTCTGCGGACAGGCTGCCGTGTCTGCTGGGGGATTTGGGCACCTCGGGGACGCTCAGGCTGGCTGAGGACACGGTGCTGTCGGAGCCCAGGGAGGTGCTGGACTGCGTCAGGGACGACTTGCGCAGCTTGCTCTTCAGGAAGAAGCCCTTGAGTTTGGACTTCTTGCCCCCCAGCTCGAAGTCGTCCTCCATGTCCAGGGCCCCCACGCTGCTGGGGATGATGGCAGAGGCCGACTCCAGCTCGTACTTCTTCTTGCCTGCCACCTTGTCCCTCAGCCTGCCGAAGGGCGAGCGCGCCTTGTCCTTGGCCGACAGGTCGAACATGCTGGCCGTGAGGCTGTTCCGCGTGAACTGGATGCTCACCAGGATCTCACCCCGCTCCTTCTCCTTCTTCCCCGCCTTGGAGTGCAGCTTGTGCCACCTGCAGCCAGGGGACACAAAAGGACAGGGCCCTCCGTCATCTCCCAGAGCCACGGGCCGGAGAGCTTGGAGGAGATGCTGCTGCTGGGAGGAAGCACCAGGGCAATCCAGCACGAGTTTCTCCAGGGAAAGGGCTGGAAAATGTTGGAACTACCCAGGGAGGTTTGCAGTCCCCATCCCTGGAGGTGTCCAAGGAATGAGTGGATGCGGCACTCAGTGCTTTGGGCATTGGGCACAGCTTGGACTGGATGATCCAGGAGGGCTTTTCCAACCTCACTGCTGCTGGGATTCTAAGCCAAGCATCCCAGGTATCACCTAAACCCCAAGTCAGAGAGACACAAACACCCCACACGGAGGTGACACAGACCCTGACCCTCCCTGGCACACCTGCAGCTCCATCTCCATCCGTGTCCTCACCCCAAGCACTGCCCTTACACTGGATAACCTGGAAAACAGCACCTCACTGTCCCTGCCAGACACCCCAGATTCCCCAGGCAGAGCTGGCAGCAGTGCTCTGAAGGAGACAAAGCCACGGGCATTTTGTGCTCGTCGTTTGAATAATTTGATCCCTGTGACTCAGGGATCCTCTCGGCAGAGACTGACTCAGAACAGCAAAGGAGCTCAACATCATCCATGAAATCAACTTCCTGCCAGACCTGCTGTGTCTCGCTCCACAAAGATGCTCAGCATTGCCTGCAAGTGTCCTTGGATCACTTTCTTTAAAGGGTGACGCATCCCAGGAGTTCTCTGGGGTGAGCTCCAGCAGCTGCTGAGCAGTTCCAGCCCCACCCAACACGAGCCCACCCTTCCCAGGCTGCTGATTTGGGGCAATTCCCACACCCCCACTGCAGGTTCATGGTGGCAGCTCCAGAAGGAGCCATGGGCCGTGTCCAGCACAAAGCTCCCACTGATTCCAGAGGATTCCTGGGAACGCTGCCCACTGTCCCACCCCACACAGGACCCGGAGCTGCCCGTGGAAATGGGGGAGCACTGGAAAAGCCTCCAAACCGTTCACTGCACCAGGCAAAGCAGCCCAGCCTCCTTTCAGGGGCTGATGCTGCCCCAGGGAATGGCCTGGCAGCTGGCAGGGCACGGGGCAGCCTCTGGAGCGGCATGGAGAGGGGTCTGGATTCCTGCAGCGGGGAGGAGCGGTGGCACTGGGGCTCCAGAGCCACCCCTGGGCCTCCATTCCCGCGTGCCAATGGGGCAGCACCAACCACAGAACCAAGGGAACCGTTCCTTCCCAAAAATCACTTCACCCCCCCTTCCCCAGGGGCTGCCCCACCTCTGCCAGTGCAGGCACCACGTCCAGGGCAGCTGCAGCAGGATGAGCAGGAACCCAGCACAGCCACGGCCCTGATCCTGCCCTGATCCAAGTATGAGATGAATTTCTGATTCTAATTCCCCTTAACAAGGCCCTGGGAAAGCTGCAGGCTCGGGACAGATCCCGTTTCTCCACCTTGTGCTGCCTGGGAGCAACGGGAGGTGAAGACACTTCCGACATGCATTAACCATCTCCCAGAAAATAAAAATCCCAGTGGCGTCTTACATCCACCTGGAGAGTGAAGAAGAGGGACTTTTCTTCTTCACTGAGAAGAAAAAAAATAGGGAAGGAAAATGATGGATGGGGCGGGACAGGACAGGACGGGACAGGATGGGACAGGATGGAGGCAGATGTGACCATGCTGTAATCACCAGGGTGAGGAAAAAACTGGAATTGTGTCCTCCAGGAGCTCCTGAATTGCTGCCAGGGAAGTCATCACAGCCTGGATGAAGGGAGGAGCTGGGAAGGCTGGGAATGCTACACCACACCCTGGAAGTGTCCCAGGCCAGGCTGGACAGGCCTTGGAGGAGCTGGGGCAGTGGGAGGTGTCCCTGCCCGAGGGCCTGGATGCCTTTTAAGGTCTCTTCCAACCCAAACCAGTTTGGGATCCCATGAAGGGGGCACAAAATGCCCTCATTCCCTGCTAAATATCCCAGGTCACAGCTGGCAGCACCCAGGTCCTTCACCACACAAAGGCAGGAGGGACATGCCTGGGAATTGCTGAATTAAATCCCAGTGAATCCACTGCTATTCCCACCACTCGCTTATCCCACCCCATCCAATGCCCACTGCAAACCTTTCAGTGCTCAGGTTGCCAGGCAGGAAAAAGAAAAAACCCATGGAAAAGGCAGCAGTAACCCCTTAGAGCCGAGCCCCTGCCAGGGAGCAGCAGGAGAACACTTCCCAAAGGATGGAGGGGAAAAGGCTGCTGGAACATCCCCCAGCTCATCCTGCCCTGGAATGCAGGAGCTGGAAGCAGCTCGGGAGGGCAGGGCTGCAGCAGCCTGGGGGGCTGGATCAGTGCACAGGAAAACCAAAGAACTCCTGAAAGGAGCTTGTGCACCTTACATCCTCCCACGGAAAAAGCAGCGAGAACCTGGCTGGGTTCACCCGGGGAAAGGCAGGAGCTCCCTAGGAGCAGCTGGGATGTGCCCCCAGCATCTCCCAGCCCTGGGAGCAGCCCAGGGAATTCATCTGCTGGGCCTGGGCTGCTCCAAGAGCAGCTGCTCGAGGCAAAGCTCTGCTGCTGCTGGGGCTCAGCAGCTAGTTTTGGTCCCAAGACCTCATCACCAGTCGTGGCTACAGCTCCAGCAGGCGACGGGGCTGGTTTTAGGCTGAGCTCCCAGTTTGTGGCACAGGATGAGGTTTGGGAGGATTCAGCTGTTCCCTGTCCTGTGCTTGGGTTTTTTATCAATCAGCCCAGTGGGAACAGGAGGTGCCAACCCCTGGGATGCAGCAGGACAGCGGGATGGGCCATTCCAGCAGGATATGGGTTATTCCAGGGGGACAGGGGGATATGGGTTATTCCAGCAGGACAGGGGTCATTCCAGCAGGAGAAGGGTCATTCCAGGAGGATATGGGTTATTCCAGGGGGACAGGGGGATATGGGTTATTCCAGCAGGACAGGGGTCATTCCAGCAGATACAGGTTATTCCAGCAGGACAGGGGTCATTCCAGGAGGAGATGGGTTATTCCAGAGGGACAGGGGGATATGGGTTATTACAGCAGACTGGGGCCATTTCAGGAGGATATGGGTTATTCCAGGGGGGCAGAGGTTTTTCCAGGAAGACAGGGGGATATTGGTTATTCCAGAGGGACAGGGGTCATTCCAGGAGGACAGGAGGATATGGGTCATTCCAGGGGGACAGGGGTCATTCCAGCAGGATATGGGTTATTCCAGGAGGATTTGGGTTATTCCAGGAGAATAGGGGTCATTCCCAAGGAGGACTACCTTTGCCCTCTGATGGCTCTGGATGAGGTCCCCAGGATTCCCCTGCAAGCTGCAGCTCGGCTGGACCTCCTGTGCCCCCCAGCCCTGCTCAGCACACCCTGGGCACCAGGACCTCCAGTTTCCCTCCCAGACTGGTCCCAGTGCTTTGCCAGCAGGGAGTTTCCTGGGGGAGTGGAGTTCCTGGTGACCCCTGGGGCTCAGGGATGCAGAGGGGAAGGAGGCCCAGCTGGAGCATTTCTGGAGCATTTTGGAGCATTTCTGGAGCATTTCTGGAGCACTTCCACTTCAGGAGCTCCCCCAAAGCCTCCCAGAAGCACTGGGCACTGCCGGGGCGGGCCAGGTTCACCTGGCAGCAGCAGAAACCCTTGTGCCCGGCAGAGCAGGGAGCTGCAGTGCCACAGACACACCCCAGCCCAGAGGCTCTGCCCAGCCTGCTCCAGCTGGCAGCTCCTGCTGATTCATCCCTGCAGCAAGGCTGGCTGGCCAGAGGAGCCCCAAGCCTTGAATCAAGGATCCCTCGTGCTGCCACAGAGACAGAGCAGGGCAGGGCAGGAGCAGCAATCCAGGGAAACTGAGGCCAGCTCCCCTTGGCACAGCCCACCCCGAGAGCCGGGCACAGAGACATTTCCCTGAGCCTGCAGCTGAGGCAGCCGGGCCAGAGGAAGCTCACCTAGCTGGGAGGGGAAGCACAGGCTGCAAAACCACCCAGCCCCGGGGAATTTTGTGCTTTTTTGTCTGGCTCTGTGCTCCTGCTTCTGCAGGGCTGGCTCCCGTGCTGGTTTTGGATGGCTGATGCTGCCAGGAACACTTTGTTTTGGGACCTGAGGCTTTTCTCTAGCCCAGGATGGACAAGGGGAAGGAGGAAAGATTTAAGGAGCTGTAAAACAGTGTGGAACATTTATGTGGGGACAGCCACAGCAGGAGTCAGGACGCAATCCCCTCAGCTGGATTTATCTGCTCACACTCCACAGCACCCAGGCTTTGTGTCCTCCCAGCTGCCTCCCAGCAAACCACCCTCGTGGGCAGCCAGCGACCTGAGCTGCCCAGACACCACAGGACAGGGGACAAAGTGACACTGGCAGTGCTGCTGATCCCCTGCCCTGGGCACAGGAGGCCAAAGTTAAAGCAGCAGGAGCCCTGAGCTGAGTCTGCGAGATGGCACAGCACCAGGAGCTGCTGCACAGGCTCCTGGCAGCCCCCCAGGGCACAGGGAGCACAGGAGAAACACCCTTGGCTGTGCATCCTTCCCACTGCCAGCTGGGAGAGGCACCGTGGCAGGTGAACACACAGAACCAGCACCAGGGGCTGGGGAATGGCTGTTCTCCAAGGGGACAGCAGCGCCAGGGCAGGGACAGCAGTGCCAGGGCAGGGACAGCAGTGCCAGGGGAGGGACAGCAGTGCCAGGGCAGGGACACCAACACCAGGGCAGGGACAGCAGTGCCAGGGCAGGGACAGCAGTGCCAGGGCAGGGACACCAATCCCAGGGCAGGGACAGCAGTGCCAGGGCAAGGACAGCAGCACCAGGACAGGGACAGCAGTGCCGGGGCAGGGACAGCAGTGCCAGGGCAGGGACAGCAGTGCCGGGGCAGGGACAGCAGTGCCGGGGGAGGGACACCAACGCCAGGGCAGGGACAGCAGTGCCAGGGCAGGGACAGCAGCGCCAGGGCAAGGACAGCAGCCCCAGGACAGGGACAGCAGCCCCAGGACAGGGACAGCAGCCCCAGGA